CAGACTATTTTTCAAAATTCGTCGTCCGTGGGATTTGAACTCTAGACCTGCTATTTGGAGAGGGTAACGACTAGACCACTACACTAAGTCGCCACACCCCTATTTTATAATATATATTTGGTAGATACCCAAAGCATAATTTTATAATATATATTTAGTAGATACCCAAAGTATAATTTTACTTTGATCAAAAATACATGACACAAAAATGGTTATTGGATAAATTACTTATGTGAAATTTCATTTAACAAATATGTAAATTGGCTCCTGGATTTGTTCACTATAACCCAAAAACCCTTTTTGATAAGTGTCTGGTTATCTAAATCCTATCATCCAAAATCATATAACACAAAAACCCTTTATATAATCCTTTTTTCCTCTTTAGTTCAGAAAAAGATAAATAGATAGCACTATATAAAGATTCAGAAAATAGTATTATGAAGTAATGACCTTATAAATTTAACCTATCTAATATCTGGCTTCGAATAGACTTGGCTATGAGAAGGCGAAATATTGGAATATTATTTTTTGATTTGAATTTTCTGCATACTTATTGTAAAAAGTGCTTATCTGAGATGAATAACTAGTTGAACGTAGCAATTTTTCTGCTTCAGAAATTACTATTAGCTAGGTTATATATATTTGATAAAAGCTAAAGATCGATTTTTTAATTCTTTTTTGTATGGAGTAGTAGGGACCTTCATTTTAGTCTCAAAATTTCGCTTATATTCTAAGAAAGCAACCTCATCTATACTCTTGCACTCTTTTTTCCAGTAATTTTGATTATCTCACAATTCAAAGGTAATCTTAGTTCTCCATTGTTCCAATTTTTCTTTTGATATTTGGAATTTTTGTTGTAAAAAAAGGATAAGAGTACTTATATCAGATTTATTTTTGATAAGATATTCTGAAGATAAAGAAATTAAGGATTCAAGTAACTTCTTAGCTTCAGTAATGTTTGAAAATTGTTCAAAATTAATCAATTGATTTTGAGTTAATACTGAAGAAGGCAATTGTGACAATTTTGTTATGGATTTCTCAACTATATTATTACAAGAACTATTTTCACAAACCTCATTACTGAATTTTGAAATGGTAATATCAGTAGTAATAAGTATTGAGTCAAAAAGTTCCTGAGTTTCATCAATCGATTCTGGCTTGTATAGTGGAAGAATTGGAATTGTAGGGCAATAATTAGGATTATTCAACTTTATTCTTTCTTGAGTTTCAAAACCAGCACCATTATCTGGTATATTATAAATCCAATATGTTTTTTTACATACTTGATGCCCCTTGGAACCTACACGAGTTTTTTCACTCTTGATAGTATAACTACACCAATTACTTAGTATTGTATTAATAAACTTTATTGTAGCGTTGAGGTCTGGTATTCCTTTAGCTCTGGTCTTAAAGCCAAAGAGTAATAATGCATCTTCTCGAATTTTAACAATTTTTTCTCATGATTGTTTGAAAACTTTTGCCACATCATCACCAGAAAGAATATTCATGTTATCTATATCACTAAAGCTTATCGATTGAACAAAATTATGTATTGCCTTTTATTGTTTTACTGAATAAAATTTATGTAAATCGACTGAGAATGGATCCATAGATTTGTGTGAATCTTCTCATTGTATTTCTTCTTTAACTTCCAGATTTCTATAGAATTTATTGCATTGGAACCTTGTCTTCTAAAATATGCTAGCCTTCTAAAATGTTGTAAAGGTTTAGGATTATTATATCTTTTCACGAAATCTATGTCACAAAGTTTAACCCAATTATCATTATTCATACCCAATTCTGAATTTCATCTCTACCTCAAATATCGCCTAAAGCATATGTTCTTTATAAATAATAATGTTGTAAGGTCATATTATCAATGAAAGAATGTTCAGGATTTAACTTAAGCATTTTAGCTTTATTAGGATTAATATCTGGAGCATTAACTATTAATTCCGCATCAGAGCTTTTGATTTTTTCTTCAATCTTCTTAATAGTATAAGATACTTCTGTATAGAAGCTTTGGCTAATTTGGTATCTTCTACTGTAATTAATTCTAGCAATACTCCAGTACAAGCAATAAGACTGCAAAAAATCTTAGGAAAATATTTGGCTAATAAGTGTCTCTGATATTCAACCTCAATATAGGTTTCTACTACCAAAGATGAATCAAGTATATAACAGTTGGCAATTTTATTCTATTTACGGCATCTCTTTATTGCAGTTGGTAAATCTTCAGGTCTTAAAGCCGAAAGTTCTGCACGAATAAGGTCACAATTTGGTTCTTTAAAAATCTTAGAATGTGTTTTACTATTGTAAAGAGAAACAATATGATACAGACAATTACGAGTTCGATAAAGCATCTAAGTAAATGCTTTAGCATGTACTCCTGTTTTAATATTACTAATTGCAATAATTGCATCAAAATGGTTAGGAATTTTGAACGAGATGCCTGACTCCACAGTACTTGTATAGATTACACAATCAAGACTACTCCAGATAGTATTAATATTAGCAAAGTTATCTTAGCGTTGTTTTCTATCTATTTAACTAAAATAAACACATGACAAAATAAATAAACCATCTGGTTTTTGCAACTTAGATACTTGATTAGCTATTGACCGAGCCTTTTTTGCAGAATGTTATTAAAAAGACAACATGCTTACCTTCTTTAAGCATCTCAAGACCTTTATGTATAGTTTCTGAGCCTTTATTTGAATTATAAAGGATTTTTACAGTCTCACTTTTACATGGCTGATACCTATTATCAAAAACTTGGATGTTTTCACCCCGGTATTGTCTTAAGAAGGCTAAAGTCGACTTATTTGCAAAAGCATCCATGGCAACCACATGAACAGCCAACTTTAACAAATCCCGCATAGCATTTTCAGATTCTTGTGCATGGATTCCACTTGCTATTTGTCACATAATACCATTCACTTCATTTAAAATAACTACATGAGAATGACCCCCATAAAAATTAAGACGATGCATACTTTTGACCTGAGCAATAATAACATCCCAGTCATGTATAGCTAAATTACTTTCATTTTTCTGATAATGGTACATATAAAGTTTGGATTTCTGTAATACTTCGACTTTACTTTTAGTTTCATTACTAAGAGTTTTACAATATAAAACCCAGTTAAAGAATCAAGAATCTCTCTTAAAGTTTTTGTTTTTCCGCTGGCAATGGGTGAGCAAATTAGGGTTGTAGTGTGTTTTTCCGCTAGCAACGGGTGAGCGAATTAGGGTTTTTGTGCTAGCAACAGGTAAGTGAATTAGGGTTGTAGTGTATTCTTCACTCAAGAAATCAGAATAAGCTTCTGAAGCATTTTCCATTTCTTTTACATTAATAACTTCTCCAGGTAATTTAGGAAGTAGACGTAGATACTTTATAGCCTTGACTATTCTTTCATTTAATTCCTATTTAGACTTTTCTTTCGACTTAACTTTGTATGATACCTCGCCAAATACCAATCCCTTGTGGTCTGGCTTATATTGTTTTTGTTAAAAACATTTGAGTATAAAACGCCCATCTTTTAGAAGAAATCTATATAATTGATTTTTTTCATGTTTAACCTCACATATAGCGTATTTATTAGACAATTGTGCTTGAAAGTTAATTAACTCTTTTCCATTTTTCTCAATCTCAAGTTTGCAATAACCAAATTAGCATCTTTGATAAGGGCATCTTCATCCTCAATAGGTTGAAATTTCTCTGCTGGCTTCTCAGAAGAAAAAGTCTGTGGCCAGATTACAGAATAATACAATTTTGGTTAAACCAAATAATTCTCTAGCTCATGAAATCTAATTTAACTGAAGATATCGTGGGTTTTTTAACTTTGCCTTCTTTTGCTGATCTGAGAAGTCAAAGATTAAAGCACGATTTGTAGAGTTCAACATCAATGAATTTGGAATATGGCTCCCCAACAATATTAGCAACTTTCTCTACAAACTCTTTAAGATCTTTATAGTCAATGAATCGACCATGAGGATAAATAATATACCAGCTACATTTATTTGCATTTGATGAACTTGCCAAGGCAAAACTATTTAATAATGCTATGCAACCAAATGCAGAATATAATGTATCTGTACAAGTAACTAAAATTTAAGATACCAAATCTTGACGAGTAATTTTTTCACCATCTAAAGAAAGGAGTTTAAGATTAGTAGGATCAGGCTTTTGCCTTGCATCAATATTAATTATTAAGCGAAGTGGCTGATTTCCATCAATACATTCATGTGTATCAGATATTCCATAAATTTCAAAAAGATAATCAATTACTGTATAACCTTTTTCTGCTACTTGAATTATATATTGAGAATGAATCTCTTCAGGTTAATATGCCTCTAAAAGTGCTATATTGTTTCTATCATTGGATCCAAGCAAATATTTATAATACATATATTCTCCATAACCAGGTTTATAATCAAGATTTGTTAAACCTTTGAGAATTATTTTTTTGTTTCATTATATTCAGCCAATTTTTGATTTAGATACTGTTGTTGTAATAATTCACGAAGACGTTTTTTTGCTTCACTAGATAAACTTATTTTATTAATTGTATATATGCATTGTTTGTATATACATGTTGTTTAATCTGACAAAAAGTATATGTAGTAATATATGTAGTATTATTTTAAAACTATATTAATTGATAGATAAATCTTTAAAATAAAATTAATTATTCCAAAAATTTTAGTAAAATAAGTTCACCCAAATAATATAAATTTGATTGAAGTAATTATTATATATAGTTATAATGATATTATACCATTGCTCACATATTCATAGAACTAGAGAAATCTGTAATTGGGGTAGTAAATCAGAAAGATGTTATATTTATCGTAAATCTCCAGTATATACTCCTTGTAAAGATTGTGGTGAGCTAAATAGGTCTAAATATAATGCATGCAATAAACATGTTAGCAAATATAAAAGTAAAGAGAATTACTATCAAAAAAAGTGAGATGAATTGTATACAAAAATTGCTATGTTTGAGAGTCATGTATCTGACTTACCTGATTCTATGCATGAAGTATAATCATATTCCTAGTATATATTGATTATTTTTTTTAGGCTTGAGATAATTAATTTCGATTTGAAACAATAAGTAAATTAATGTATAATCATAATCTACTTATCGATATATATTATTTACATACTTATCATAGCAACTGTCTGAAAAACTAGAAAATCCAAAACCAATAACTTCACCTCTATTTTAGATCTATTTCTGAATAAATATAATCTATCAGTTAAATCAACCCCACTTCAATTACGTGCTCATGTTGATAAGCTTGGTACTATGCTACCAGATTAGAAGGCTCGTAAAGATGTAAAAGAAGCTCTTTGCCGACGTCTATTCAAAGACAATCAAATAGAAGCTTTGGTTCCGAACAACAAAAAGAAAAGGCTTACTATCAAGAAAAGAGCTCAATATTGTGCAAAAACCAGAGATGTGTGGGATATTTACTTATATGCTTTAGACTTAGCCGAAACAAAAAATAATGTTAATAAAGAGATTGTAGCATCTAGTTCCTGTCTTTCACAATTTCGTAAAGAGTTAGCAGAAGCTAGAATTGATCCCAAGCAAATTAATACATATGCCAAATTACAAAATGTTACTCAAGCTTCTAACAAAATTCAGAAGAGAAAACTTGAACAGGGATTAATTAGTCGATCTAAAATACCTAAACACTTTTTTTTAGAAGAGGAGCTTAGAAAACTTCGGAATATCTGTACCACTGAGACCCCACTTTACAAAATCTCGCAGATGTGATTTGATGCTGAGCATGAGACCCGCTGAAGCAACTACTCTTTGCATTATCTATTATGAGCCTGATGAATCAAATCCTCTAGAATGGTATAATCCCAATTACTCTTGGTATTGTACTGGGTATATTAAAAATAAAGAAGAAGCAAAAAACAATTTTGAACCTCAACTATTTCTATCTATGGAAAAGAATCCAGAACATGTAAAAGAATTGCTTACCTAGATCCAAGACGCAATAGCAACCAGAAAGTTATGCAATCCTGTCTATAGTATTAATAGAAAACATAGTACAGGTGTATTTAATAAATTTTTAAAGCCATTACAGCTAAAAGATTGAGAAAAATCGGAGGTAAACATGCTTCTAGAGTTCATGGTGGTCAAAATTTAACTTTATAACATCTTGCTTTCCTCAGTAGGATTGCAATGAGGCATAAGATGGATCGTCATGATTCTGGAATGTATTATGCTGAGAGTGATACTTCAGATTCTGACCTTGACTCAGATTTAGAGCCTAAACTCGAAACTCTAGCTTCTACACCCAAGCCAATTAATAAGAATACTTCTGAAATTGAGGATATTTATAACTTATATAGGAGTATCTAGATTAGTTTATAACTTATCTATTCATTCACTATAACCCAGCTTCAAATATATAAAATATTTCTTCTATTGCGAAGCACTGGCTCTTCGAGCCTACATATATTAAAAAAAAAATATAAATAAATATTTAACAAATTTTATTTATTTAATATAAGAAGAAGAAAGCAACCTACTCATCTGCCATATATATTTTTTCAGTTGGCTATTTGATCGACTTCGCATTTAAACACATGCTTCGATTACAGATAATAGAAATATATTATGTAAAAATCGGTTAGTTCAGATTGTGATCACAAAATTAAATCATCCGTGAATTTTGTACAATCCGTATTCTTCTGCGCAATCTGTTCAAACTATATGCATTTTGCCGATCATTTGTTCAATCCAATGATCCAGTCAACCAGTGAATCTAGTTAACAATTGAATCTATTCAATTTGTATATATTGATGATCATTATTTCATTATCTTTACCAATATATATGAATAAAAATTGTATGCATATCTATATATGCAATTATTTTCATTGCATGCAGATAGCATAAGTTACTTTTACTTTGTTTTAGTTTATAAATGAAAGGAGTCAGCATTGATGAGGTATTTTGCAAAAAAAATGAATATTGAGAAATATTGTATGAGCAAGGATTATAATCTTGGATATGTATATCATCACGATGTGGATGTTAAGAAGAATGAGAAATTGGCATTCGAATACTACCAAAAAGCTGCTGTCAATTATAACTATCTTTTAGCAATATTTAGTCTCGGTCATTGTTATCAGCATGAGATAAGTGTTGCGATTGATCACGAAAAAGCATTTGAATTCTACAAGAAATCTTTTGACCAAGAATTATCAGAAAGAATATACATAGTTAGTTATTGTTACTTTCACGGTATCGGAGTTGTAAAGGATGTACAGGATGCTTACAAGTTCTTTCAGATAGCACTTCTCATGGTGTGACAGGTCTATTCGATGTCAGTCGATGTTTCAAACATGACACTAAAACAATATTTACCAATGAAGAAAATGAGGGTTCGGAATTTTTCAAATTGGCTCAAATACATTATGAAAATACGAATTATATCGAGGTATTCAAATATTTTATGAAATCTGTGAAAATTGGGGATGCGATTGCAACTTTCGACGTTGGATGCCATTATTGACATGGAATTGGAGTAGAAAAAGATGAACATAAGGCATTCATTTATTTTCAAAAATCTGCTGAGATGGGGAATACAACTGCAACTTTCTATATTGGAAATTGTTATCATCATAAAATCAAAATTGAAAAGGATAATAACAAAGCATTCGAATATTTTCAAAATTTTGCAAAGATGGAAGATGCTAAAGGAACATATAATATTGAATGTTGTTATCAGTATGGAATTGGTATTGAAAAAGATGAACATGAGGCATTCTATTATTTTAAAAAATCTGCAGAGATGGGGCATGCTAGTAGAACACATAATGTTGGATATTACTATGATGAAGAAATTGGAGTTGAAAAGGACGAATATAAGGCATTCATTTATTATTAAAAATCTGCAGAGATGGGAGATGCTAGTGGATTATGTAAAGTTGGACATTGTTATATAAATAGAATAGGTATTAAAAAGGACATAAAGAAGGTATTCAAATATTATCAAAAATCATCAAACATAGATGATGGTAATGGGACAGTTATAGTTGGTTATTATTATAAGAGAGGAATTGGTATTGAAAAAGATATACATAAGGCATTCATTTATTATCAAAAAGCTGCTGATTTTGGTAATGCTGAAGGAATGATACATATTGAATATTGTTATCGAAATGGTGTTGGAGTTCAGATAAATATTGAAAAAGCAAGATATTGGTTTTAAAAAGAAAAGGATGAATTTCATGAGATCGTTAAATCAGAATATAAAAATCTCGATATTGATGATGATTTAAAAATTTTACTAGACAATGATAAATACAAATTGGCGTAGATACCTTATGAATTTAAAAATGTTAAAGAGATTGGAAAAGGTGATTTTGCAACTGTATTCAGAGCAACATATAAAAGTATTAAAGGAGATCACGATATACCTTTAACAAAAGTAACTGTGCCTGTTGCACTTAAGGAATTTAATGAAGACAATGATTGGTTGAATAAGATATAATTATTAGTTCTAATATGATTATCATGTATGCTTTTTCGAATAAAAGTAATGTTTTTTTTTATAAGGTGAAAGCATATTGCGAAATCGGAGTCGATAATCCTTCATTCATGAAATGTTATGGGATATTGAGAAACGAGAATAGAAGATACGCTCTTGTGTTAAAATACACATCATCTGGTTCTCTGTGTGATAATCTTGGTAAACTATTAAAAGAATCATAGAATTTTAGGCTCAGTTTGTTACTCAGCATATGTTACAACCTGAGAATGATCCACTCTAACGGAATCATACATTGAGACCTTCATAGTAGTAACATATCACAAGACAATCTAAATAGCGCATACATTGCAGACTTGGGTCTTTCTGTTCAATACATGAAACAAAGCGATGGACAAGTTTATAGTATCTTACTTTTCATTGCACCAAAAATTTTAAAAAAAACAGCGTATACTATAGAGTCTGATATTTACAGTTTTAGCATAATCATGTGGGAGATACTATATGGTGAACTAGTAACAAATCAATATAACATGAATGATCATATTCAGGTGTTAAAAATACTTGATGGATTCAGACCACCTATTGATAAGGTTATTCCCCAATTCTATGCTGATGTTATTGAAAAATGTTGGAGCAAGAACTTGGAGGATCGTCCAACTGCAGAGGAACTCTGTGAAAATTTCAAAGAATGGTCTAATGATGCGACAAAAATCAGAGAGTTAGACGAATGCATGATCGAACATGATCATGTCATAATATCAAGCACAAATACCATTCACTTTAGCCAAATAATATCTTGCATTATTGATTTTTTTTAAATATATGAAATAAAATATGAGATTATTTTAAGCAAACAAATTAAGGTTTTTTATAGATCATTAAGTGAAATTTGCTTTATAATTTTGATATGATATTTAGTTTTATTTTATGATTTTTTTGTAAGGACAAATAAAAATAAAAAACTCTATTTTTTGTTGCTGCAATCTATGTAATGGTTTTTGATTCTAAAAAGATGTTTTATGTAAAATTGTAAACGTGATTCATATTTTTGAAGAAATCAGAAAATAGTCTATCATTATACAATTTATGCAAATTGTCGATTATTCAATCCATTCAATCTATATGGGTTAGTCAATCCATTGTACAGATTCATGTGATATCCGTTTGGTTATGCATATTGCATATTAAATAATCATGCAATCCCTATCATCTGAATTTGGATGGATCTCACCACTATTACAATAATGGGCCTCTGGGGGAGCGATGTCATGTGTAAATCTAATACTAGTCTGGGTCACAATCTTATTAAGTTACATGCACTGCTGATGTCATGCATGTCTTGGATAAATTGAACAATTGCTATAAAATAATACCCATGTTGAACTTATCATGTTTTTGTTCAAACTTTCTGGCATATTCTCAGTAGCATATACGTAGTAGACTCTTTGGGTTATTGCTCTGCAATACTTGGTCTATATATCGAAGTTTCTATAATATAAGGAATAATATGTTAGTCTTGCTACTTTTACTAATAAAATAGAATAAATTTGTCAATAATTAATTATACATGACTTTATTACTAAATATACTTGGAGTGGTAAAATTATATCTTACTCAATGTTACCCAAACCATGTATTTTTAAGTTTTTAGATCCAGGTCCTTATTTTCAAAATCAGAATTTACGCCCATGTTTTGATGATAAATCAATAATAACGCGATAATAATGTAATTAATATTTTTTTCCAATATGTTCTAACTTTTACTAACAGAGACAACAAATCAGATTCTAAGACGTGAAATCTTAATCTTGTATAAAAAGGATTCAAAAATCTTTAGTATACTTTCTACTATTTTCTCTATAATAATATCTCCAAAGGGGGCATGACTAATAAAATAATAAGTTATTCTAGCCACTTTGTAATTGCCTTTAGTAATAAATTGCAATAACTAATAAAAAAATTAGGTATTTTCCAGCCTCCGGCTAATTCTCCCAAAAACAAAACAACATACCTGTATTTTTTTCGAAAATAAAATGTCAGTATCACAATAGCCTAATTAATTTGTTTGTATGTTTCCCCGCACTCATATATCTATACTAATAATCTTTTTTTCCCGTTATAGATGTCTTTGATCAATGTTTCAGAAATTGCACCATTTTTGGCCTTTGTATTAATAATGATGTTTGCTGAGAAAATTTCTGTCCATCTGATTTTTGTTGCTATATGCTTTACTATATATATCGTCAAACAACAACTTATCGCAGAATACAATGCATATGTAGAAAGATTAACTGCGGATCTTACAACATGGGATGCCATATTTGTTGTTGAGGGACAAAGAATTCTGACAATAGTAAATACTGTAATTGAAACCATTAATGAAATTACCACCAATTATGAATCCCTTTGTGACTAGTTGAACTAAATAACTAAGACAGGTTTTGTGGCATTATTAATATCTGAACAATTTGCTAGCTCATATATACCTATATCTAATTTTTCTCAAAGATCTTCTGGTTCTTCTTCTGGATCTTCTGAATCTTCCCTGGGTTCTTTTAGTGGCTCAAGCCAATTATCTTTTTTTGATATTACCTTAACAACCAGAAAACACTTTAAAATTCTTTTTGATAAAATTATGGCAGACAATAATTATTCTTTAGACGATATGTATAAGGGAGCTTCCAGAAATCAGCTGATTTATCTTTACTAATAGGCTACCCCACCCACCCACACCTGACATCCCTATTAGCCAATCAAATTTTATATTTATTTAAAATTTTTGGTGACAAAACATAATAAAATTTTCAAATTTGAAGTTTATTAATTAAAAATTTTCTTTATTAAGTAAA